TTACTGCAGTTTCCCCTTCTGGAGGACATATTTGCATCCACGTTATTTGAACAAAGTGAACCCGTGGTACTTTAATTAATAAGGAACTCAAGAATAAATGTATTTAAATTTGTTTTCCCAGTATGTGTTTACTTGAATAAAATTTATTATCATCCTTCAGTAATGAATTTACTAGATACTTGATGATCTGATAATGAAAGATTTTTCATCTCTTAGCTTTTCTATGGAAGAAATTTTTTTTTTAATTACTTTTTCTCCAGTTTACAAACTAATTATAATACCAAACTACGTGGGTGATAAGTTTGGGAGAGGATATGCTATCCCTATTTTCTTAAATTGGTAAATAAAATTGTGGGAATAATTTTCTATATTGATTTAATTACCCTAAAAGGCTTGATATATACAGTTTTTCTATGTAAACCCTGCACTTCTCTTTGTTCACCCACATTCTATATTGATTTAATTGTGCCCGTTTGGCATTGCTTATTTGGGGTGATAAGTGATTTTTTAAAAAATTTGGGAAGCCCAGTCCGTTTGGTAAACTATGAGAAAATCACTTATTGTTAAAAATTGTTGTGAGAGAAAGCTATAAGGGAAAGCAACTAATGAGGTGCTTTCATTTTCTGATTATGCGGGAATTAGTACCAATAACACTTTTAACAAAAAGTTTACCCAACACCAAACTGCTTTCTCTCACAGCTGATTTATATCACAGCAAATCTGACAGCGATTATTTTCACAGCACAGCAATGCCAAACTGGCCAAGTTCACCCCAACTTCTAATTCAAATTTTCACAATTTCTAAGAAAACCCGACTATCTTCCCAAATTACCCCTAAATACACACCGAGCATAAAGAAAAAAAAAACAAAAAACTCATCAACCTCACACCCCACACCCTGCTATCTTACCCCTCACCACTCTAAGTTCACCTTAACCTCATATTACTTAAAGAGATAAAAACATTGTTGTCCAAATGTGTAGTAGCATTGAGAATGAACTAGGAGGTTTTGTGAAGAGAAGATGAGAGTGTAGTAAGTTTCTTGGATTGAGAGAGGAGTAATCTAGCAATAGTGTGTAGAGGAGGTTGTGTTTTTCTAGAACTTAATATGAAGAGTGGTGGGGTGTGTGGGGTGTGCGTATAGATGTACTATGGTTAAGTATTAAGTTGGATGAACTTTTTTGTCTTTTTACACAATAATAAAACTTAGAGCTTAATAATTTAAGTATTGAGGTGAACTAAGAAAAGTGTGGGGTTTAAATAGAAAAACTCTATATACATACCAGGTCTACATAGCTTTGCAAGGAAACACAAATACTTGGAGCCTAAGCTAAGTCAATGACAAACATTCATAAATTAGGAAAGCAAAATAACTTCCTATTTTAGAATTCTTAACACTCCCTCTCAAGTTGGAGCATGGATATCTATCACTACTACAAAAAGGGCAAAAGACGACCAGAAAAAGACGACGGTAGAACAAAAAACCGTCGTTGTTTTTAAAAAGACGACGATAACAAAAAACCGTCGTGGATAAGTGACTTAAACAACTAAAAAATGGAGATACTGTTGAGAATTTTTTTATAACGACGCACACAAATAAAAAAGTGTCGTCTTATTAAAAAGCTTTTCTTTAGAGTTAAAATCTGACCAAAAAACAACGACAGCAGGTATGACAAGCG